GTTGATCCATCCCTTACACCTTAACCCACCCTTAAACCTACCTAGACCACCAAACCTGTACCTAACCTTACCCGTATCCCACCTCAATAGCAGCAAAAGTGTTTTGCAATACAATATGAACACAATAAGTACATTGTACTTAATTTTTGATGTAAGTACATAGTAGTTAAGGCCACTTAATATAAAGTGGGGCCATATACAGTTATACTCTTAAAAATAAAGGTTATTGGCATCTGTGATTCCTTGAAAAACCTTTAACATCCATGGATCGTTTTCATTGGACAAAAGGTTCTTTAGAGTGGAAAAGGTTTTAAAATGTTCTTTACTCTAAGAAAAAATGGTTCTTTGAAGAACTGTTCACCGAAAGGTTCTTTGGGGAACCAAACATGGTTCTTCTGTGGCATTGCTGCGAAAACCCTCTTTTGGAACCTTAATCCTTAAGAGTGTATGGAACAACATTATGGTGGGTGAATAATGAAAGATCTCTAATTGTTGACTGAACTGTTCCTAGCCTCACTAGTTCCTTCATTATCTATGGCAGCGGTCACCAAACTTTTTAAGCCCAAGATCCCTAACCTCAGCCTTTATGAAAGACAAGATCTACCTACTGAAGAATTGATACAAAAAGGCAGCCCAGATTGTAATCCAATTTTAATTAGTGATGCACCTGTCATGATTTTTCATGGCCGATTCAGATTCTTTTTTTTTTTTTTTTTTACTAGCAAATTGGCCAATTCTGATAATGGATACTGATTTTTTTAAGCAAATTTATTTATTGGTTATTTAAAAATATCTGAAGGCATTTGAAATTAGAGGCAACTACTGCGTTTCAATCATGATCCGAACAAAGATGCTACACACGTTGCATGAGCAGTTGTTTTTTATTTGAATTAGATTTACAGGATTTAAAGCAAAAACAGAACGGTCTGACTTTAGCTTTGTAAAATTATGCTACATAAAAACATCTGCATGAAACAAAAACGGCAGAAAGTCTCAATGAGACGCAGTTTCACTCTCTGACAGCAGGTGGCGCTTATGGAACAGCAGCCATACAGCGTTTCCTTGGTTACTGCTGTAAACAAAGCAACTGCGCTTATAAATACTACTTTACATGGAGGTAAGAGGAGAAGAAAATCCCATTTTTTTCCCAAAACTTTTCTCACGACAGTCAGTTCCCTTCAGTGATACATTCATATTATAACCCCTCACCCCCAATTCAATATTTATATTTTCTTCCAATATTTCAAGCAGCATGAACCGTGATCTTGCTCTGCCTGCTACAGTATTTTCTCCGCTTTGCATCCGTCTTCAGCGTATCTGGCCTCAGTTAACGTCCTGTTTTCAGACTCAGGCACGATGTATTTTTCTTTGTCACTGTCCCAGTAGCTCCCCAAAAATACAGAAAAATAAGTACAAAAAAATACAGTACAAAAAGTGCACTAATGTAATGTATTTTGTACTTAATTTAAATTTATTTTCAGGATCTACTGGGATAGTGATAAAGATCTACCAGTCGATCGCGATTGACAGGTTGGCGACCACTGATCTATGGTATTGTTTTTTCCAGGAGGATGCCCATGGAGGACTACCCGAACCAGAACTGGGCCAACCATAGAGACCCTGTCCACTACCCCAACCCCATCTACGAGACCCATCAAGACAACTATCCTCCACACTCTCCCCGGTTGCCTGTACCCAGGCCCGCGGAGGCCACGGGTGGTTACTACCCCACATCTCCAGCCCAACAGAGGGGTCCCATGAGGCAGGATGTCCCTCCCTCTTTGAACCCAGGTGCCAAAGCCCCACCGCAATACGAAACGCTAAAACAAGGGAACTATCGGGCGGCCAGTCCTGATCGTTACGGGCCATACGGAGATGAACAATACCAAGATCCCCGGCAGAAAAAACCAATGATTGGAGCCGTCTAGAGGAGGAGGAAGTAGGTTTGTACTGAAAAAGTTAAGTGATTATATAATTTTGTCCATTTAAAAAGACATTAAAGGAACAATCTAATTAGTTTTCTTAGACTTATGAGAAAAAAAAGGCAAATACAGTTGGCTTGACATAGCCATTGATTACTCCATAGTGAACTATTTAAGTAAAATTTGTTTTTTGTTTTGGACGTCAGCATTTTTTCCTCTTAATTAGTATCAGTTCTGAACAGCAAATCAGTTTTACGCCAGAGTCGGTTAAGTTTGAAGGAAGCACATAGGGTTTGTATATATGTACGTTTTGCATGAATTTAATTCATGATGCCACACAAATGTGTATATGATGGTCTGCCGTGGTAAGTATGGCCATTTCATCCCCTCATGATTATATATTGTTTTGCTGATGACATGATTGGTAGTCGCTTATTATCCTAAAATGTCAGATTTTCTCAGAGCATTGTTTGTTTATATATTGGGTGCCTTATGCTCGTTTGGGTGCGAAGTTTTTAAATGTGAAGAAATTCACCATCAGTTTACTTTTTGTGGTTATAAAAAATTTTTGTTTTTTTGCTGGGGGTTTTATTGCGCTTTATTGCGTTTGCAGTGACTCCTAAAAGACTCCACTTATTCTGTTTTTGTTGTTTTAAATCTAAAGTGTTTTTCATTGCTATGTTTTGAGGATAATATTCTCTTTCAACCACCTCTCTCATTGATTCATTTTAGTAAAGCCGTTTTGAGGCCCAAAAACAACAAAACGGGCTAAGTTACACAAATAGCTGATCCGATATCAAAGTCTCGAACTGTTTTGGCTTTTGTTGTCACTCCTTTTCATTTATCTTAGGTCGAGGTTTTTACATTCCTGGCATTTGTTTTCCCATTCAGCCATTCTATCGTAGTGCTGCATGAAATACTGCCCCCTAGGTGCAATACACAATGCTCTATGCACAGGGCTCTTGTAGTGCATAATCGTTGTTGTTGGATCATTGCTTTAAAGCGCACCTATTATGCCCCTTTAAACAAGATGTAATATTAATCTTGAGTGTCCCCACAATGTGTATGTGAAGTTTCAGCTCAAAATACCCCACAGATCATTTATTATAAAATGTGGAAAATGTATTTTTTGGGGCATGTCTAAAAAAGAGCTGTTTTTGGTGTGTATCACTTTAAATGCAAAAGAGCTGCATATTCCCACCCCATCTTCAGAAGAGAGCATGGTGTATACATCTCTGCTTTGCATATATACAGCAATAAACAGTCGGTAGAAGCAACATGACTGAGAGCGAGAGAACCGGTGTTCAGCCGTACATGTATGAACCAGAGTCAGACACAGATGAAGAAGAGACTCCGGCAGAATGAAATGACACACATACAAATACAGTTAAAATGTTAGCTAAGCACTATAATGACATGATTTTGAGGCGCATTACCTTTAAAAATAAAAGTAATCCACTGCGTCCTCAGTGGCTCAGATGTTGGGAGGATGTAATATTAATCTTGAGTGTCCCCACAATGTGTATGTGAAGTTTCAGCTCAAAATACCCCACAGATCATTTATTATAAAATGTGGAAAATGTATTTTTTGGGGCATGTCTAAAAAAGAGCTGTTTTTGGTGTGTATCACTTTAAATGCAAAAGAGCTGCATATTCCCACCCCATCTTCAGAAGAGAGCATGGTGTATACATCTCTGCTTTGCATATATACAGCAATAAACAGTCGGTAGAAGCAACATGACTGAGAGCGAGAGAACCGGTGTTCAGCCGTACATGTATGAACCAGAGTCAGACACAGATGAAGAAGAGACTCCGGCAGAATGAAATGACACACATACAAATACAGTTAAAATGTTAGCTAAGCACTATAATGACATGATTTTGAGGCGCATTACCTTTAAAAATAAAAGTAATCCACTGCGTCCTCAGTGGCTCAGATGTTGGGAGAAAATGAAGACTCTTATGTTCAGTCTTACATCCAAACACAGAACATCGGGATTACTTACGAGACATTGTTGACATTACAGCTGCTCGAGCGCAGTGAAAATGACTGTCAGTCAGCAGCCGTGGGCGGGGCCTAAACAATGTGACGTCACATTGCTCAGAGAATCAAAACGGCATGCCTTATGAGACTGGTTTGGTTTAATGGGGATTAAAAAAAATAAGGAGTGGGTGGATTTTTATCATTGTAGGGTGGTTGTGTTCACACACTGCAAACACACATTTATGCCCAAACACCATGTAAAAGTGGATTTTGCGTAATAGGTGCCCTTTAAAAACTAGACTTCCTGATATCCTTGGTTTGTAAAATTATCTGTCTGTTGTAGTTAGGAGATATGTTGCCAGTCAAAACAGGATCCTGCAAGAACCAACTTAGAAAACAAACTTAATGAATTTTTGCACCCACTTTGTTTTTTTGCACATTTAATGCCTGAATGAAGAGGTTTACAGGAAAATGGCCAGATAGATACTGAAGATACTGAGAATACATGAAGTTTTGTTGATTTTATTTGTAAGATTTTACGTTATACACATATGTTACTCTATAGACTTTACAGTACGTATGGATAATCAGTCGGTGTTCAATCTTGTGTCTGTCTTGTCATTGAAAAGTTGATTTTAATTTCTATATTTTCATATCACATTTTTCATTTAATGTTTATGGAAAATCTACTATCTTTGTGTTGATTTTTATTTTACTTGGATTTTATTGGATTTTATTTGTATGTTTTTATTTAATCGTTTTATACTTGTTTTTCTGTATCAACAGCTTTTAAAGGATTTTTTGTCAATTTATTTTGAAATTTAACAAAAGAGACCAAATACTGTGCAATTTTACTTATTTAGCCATTTGTACATTTAAATTAGTTTTTTTTTCTTTGCTCTTTTTGTTTGTTTATTTGTTTTTTGCTCTTATATTTTTATGAAAATCAAGATGCTGGTCTGCATAACTTGTGAAATCAAATAACATGCATAACAATACAATTTGTGGTATTGTTTTTATTTTTTAAAGTTGGGCAAATGTTGTATTGAATGGAAAGAAGTGTGTGTTGCTTCTACACACGTCATAACCAACAATTAATCTAGATGTTATAGGCCTACATTTTTGGGGTAAATAATATGGCTATGACATCAGTTCAGATTGATTATGACATTTTGGTACTTTTTTATTTTTAATGAAATTGTGTACGTTTTTTTTTGTAAATAAAGTGGTGTTTTGGTTAATGACATGTTGATGATGACTTCAGTGATGGCGTCCCACAGTAAAGCTGTTTGGTATTCATTGTGCTCTTGTACAGTCTTATAACTTCATACTCATAATGATGACTGAGAGAACCTCTTATTTAACATTACTGATAATTACTCCTGCTGATTAGTACTAATTTATCCTCTACCAATTAAGCTACAGAGGGTTGCACTGAAGTTATTAGGGCCTAATGGACCTATTTGGGAATTGTTGCTGATTGGGAAATTTGGCATTAAAGTGTTTGCATATTTCAGTGATGGCGTCCCACAGTAAAGCTGTTTGGTATTCATTGTGCTCTTGTACAGTCTTATAACTTCATACTCATAATGATGACTGAGAGAACCTCTTATTTAACATTACTGATAATTACTCCTGCTGATTAGTACTAATTTATCCTCTACCAATTAAGCTACAGAGGGCTGCACTGAAGTTATTAGGGCCTAATGGACCTATTTGGGAATTGTTGCTGATTGGGAAATCTGGACAGAATTTCAGTTTAATTAACCCATGGATGACAAGAGAGAGAGATGTTAGGTGGGAATAAATGAATTGTGAGAGCACTGTCGAACAAAAGGTTGATAAAAAATAACTGTGATGTCAGTTTAATCTTCATTATTTAGAAAGAAGACCACCACTCATGGATATTATGAGCCACAGTACATTTTAAAAAGGCCTTATCATGAACAGTATTTTCTTGCTCCTTTAAAATATACTTTGTATTAATATACTGTGTAGACTTATGCTAAATCGTTGTAAAATGTATAAGAAACTAGTATTTGTTTTGCAGGCCTAATTATCAAAAGAAAAGTTTTTTTTTTTTCAATGCATTGAATGTATTATATTTTAGTTTGATCATTTTTATTTAATATTTTGCATTTTTAGGGGATTTTATGGTACTATCTCGTATCTTTCCTCTCATATCTATCCTTTTATTGATATATAGTTAGATATATGATTATAGTTTAAAAACATTTTTCCTGTTTTCATTTTAAATGTAACGTTTTAGTAACATTTTGTCATTTTTATTAGTTTTTGTTTTTATTTAAATGTCTATTTTTATTAAGTTAAACATTAACTAAAAATTACAGTATACAATATGCATGTATATATATATTATTATTTTTTCCAGCTAATTGCCAAATGTTTTTTTTTTCTTCCCAGTTAACAATAATTATACTGAAATGGGTGTGTATATGTATGTAGCTTATGGCCCCTTTATTCATATTTAGTACATGAAAGTTTGACTATTAATTTTAAAGTATTGGACCTCTCACTGCAACAAATTTATTTAATATACTAATGATGTGCCATTCCCAACAGGATTCTTAATGGCCTCAAAGCTCCCAATGACTTCACTATGAAAATGAAATGCACATTTCATCCCTCTGTCATCTTGTCCTTCACAGTCATCACTCATTTATTTCAATTATGTCCCCTCCTTTCATTGGCGAGTCTCGTATCCGAGCTAATCTGGCCAGTTGAGTGGATTTTGCTCATTTCATTATGCTGCCATTATAAGAGACTCCAGTGAGACGTTATCAGCGGAGCCTCAGAACGGACCAGCTAGAGCGTTTGGAAGAGGAAAGCACTGACCTGCCCTTCACCTGCTTTAAATATTGCACGTAAGTGCCTTCAGTCACTACTATGTCATGTAATTGCTAAGAGCACACCTGTTTTATAGCGAACATGAAGACATCTGGCCTGCTTTTGACTCATAAATCTAGTGGTCACTAAAATAGTAGTCTGCTGAACATCTCCAATCCTTCTGCAATTCTGACACTGTGCAAATCCTGTTCAATCATCAGTATTCTATAAACATGCAGGAGTGTCAATGTTTTGCTAATGCTCAGACTAACTGTTCTTCCATGTGTTTTTGTTCAGGTTCCCAGAATTCCTCGGTCTTAGCCTGCAGATGCATACAGTAAGTTATCAAATTTTGTGCACACACACACACACACACATGTATATACTGTATTTTATGAAGGGCCAAGCATAGTTATAATTCAAAATAATGTAAATCTGAATATATAGTTAGATCTAAAAGTATATATTCAAATGTGTATATGTAAATCATGAATACACAGTGTGTGTGTGTGTGTACGCGTATATACATGACATGAAGCTTAATTTAGATCTATATTACTCCATACACACACACACCCACACACACACACAGCTAATGACCTTCCTCAGCTGACCGGCTGACATGGGCAGGGTGATGCCAGGTGTTTTGGTTGACAGAGTAGCGCAGGCTGCTCGTGCCCCACATTTCATCCGCAGTATTGGGTTCCTGCATCAT